CCCCAAAACCCCAAAACCCCAAAACCCCGTGGACTTCCAAATTTATTGAGGAAAATGCAGGATATAATTCATATTCCTAGATTGTACACTTGGCAGCTCTAGCGAAGCTTGCTCAACTCTGGCTTCCCTAGCTGCCATTGCTTGGGCATCCTGAAGGTTTAGTGGCTTTAGTCTTTTAACAGTTGTTCTTGGATTAGGAACAGGGTTGGCAGCTGCTTGGTCTACTGACTGGGAAAGCAAGAGTCTGTTATTTTGAGGAATTTGGCTGTTATAAGGGTTATTGGGAGAAATTTGGTTTTGAGGATTATTTTTGGAAATGAGAAGGGGGGTTTTGTAGATTAGAGAACTTGAAAGGAGATTATTTGAATCAGGATGATGTCGGATTGGGTTGGGATTGAAGAATTTTGATTTAGATTGGTGATCTGTACTCTGGGAGTATAATATGCCTCAGATTTCTAAAATTTATGAAAATGAGCAATACTCTTGAATGATTTCTGCTATTTTAAAGGATCTCCAGTAAAATCTTCAACTTTAATCCTACTTTCAAGGGATCTTTCCTTCTCCAAATATTTCTGAAATTGTTTTTGCATTCGATCAAGGTCGTTATTATAAATACCTGAAATAGGAGTTTCTTGGAAACCTTGGATTTGATCATACCTCTTCTCTTGTTTCCTACCCTCACAATTATCTTTTATCTGTGAAAGGAGAGCTTCCTTATGATTCTTCATAACAGCTCTGTAATAATCTTTACGAGTGGGAGAATTGCACAAAGGATACATTAAAGTACCTTCCTCTTGCTGGTCTTCTCAGTCAAGTGTGTTCATACCTCCCTCATGATCAATAAGTTCATGCTTTTGCTGATCAAATACATACTTTTTAAAGTAATTAGTAGCTGGATCCTTCCAGTAATCCTGGAGACCCTTTCTCCTCGCTCCATTCTGAGGTAGTATTACGCCATCATAAGAGTTATGAGTTGTGGCCAGATAATCATTCCTTCTATTCACATATAGAGTAATCCGTACCTGGCTCTCTTTGAGAGGTCTTTGCCTTGTTTTATCTTTCTTTCAAACCTATTTGCTTCTAGAGGCAGTTGGAATAAACCTCTTACCTGTTTCAGCCCCTTTATTTAACCTTCTGATCTGAGCATTATCTTTAATCTGCTGTGTCAGCCAAACTTTGGAGAGCTCTTTCAAGTCTTGCTTCCGAATGTGATGTTCTTCATCAGCGATCCTGAGAGGATGACCCACATTGCTCCCAGGCTATAATTCAGGTGTGAAGTTTACATTTTTATATGGATATTGTCCTTCAAGAGCCTTGGAAGCAGGACCTGGCTGGAATCATCGTTGATTCGACCCCTAAAGTATTAGACTCATGTTGTTGGCTGAAGGATCCACAATGATGTTATTAGTTTCGGCACATTTAAAGATCATAACGGATTTCTTCGGACTGCCAGATAATAGCTTAGCTGATCCTTGAGATAAATGAAATTTCTCTAATAGGGCAGCAGCTGAACAGACTTGTGTTCTAATGACACAGTGAACTTAACAGATTGGAACAGCAAAAGATACCTCTTAGGTTACCATAGCCTAAGGTATAAAATTCGCCAGTAAGGATTTGTTATGAATTTGTTAGAACAACTTACAATTTTATTACCAATCTTCCCCTTCTTCAGGATGCAACTTGTATTGTAAGGATTTGATCAATTTTTCTGTTTGGTCCTACTGGGACTCAGAGTTTGGGACAATTGATCTTGCATGACCCTTCTGCTGTATATTAAGTAAGATAAACATAGAAAATATAAATACCTCATTTGTTGAGGTTTATTTATCACAGATGAAGCCCTTCTCTCGCTCTCTTGAGACCGGGAGAAATTCCTGCCTATGTGGCCTCCATAACCATTTATATGGTTGGGTAATAACATTTTTCTTAATTATTATCTAAATTATTATCTAAATTATTTTGGGGTTTTGGGGTTTTGGGGTTTTGGGGTTTTGGGG